ATTATTGGGACAAAATTGTTTCCAGCACTTTTAAGTGTTGAAAATGGAGTATCGCTCAAGCCGGTGCTAGGGGGCGTGAAGAATGACGCACTTTTTCATTATCCCTCATGTACCGACTCAAATAAACCGAGTCTGCAATTTTCATGTTATTTTGTTGTGCTTCCGAGGAATGACCCTTTTGTGACAGATAACACTACTCTATTTGTTAAATTTTATAAGTGTTTGTTTACAGGTGATGTTTTATTCTTACATTGTAATACTCTATATAAAAGTGACGTCAATACCAGTGACGAAAGAACAATAGCTTTCCTTCCTGTTTATAACCGAAGGAGCAACAGTCCTGTCAAAGAAGGGATGCATCCGGGTTATTCGCCATTGGATGTTGTAAGTATATATCTATCAGCGCAAATAATGTCATTTACATATGGACAAAATTCTGATCATAATGACTTATTCCGTAGTAATATTAAGAGGATTTTTTTGTTACAGTGAAATATGGAATATATTTTCACGAAACATGATAAAATGCCACATATTTTCACGAACTTCTTTACCAATTTCGTCGCAAGTAATCGGATACTAATCCCACATAATTTCTGAATCAGCGGTCAGAGACAAATGGCCATAAGCTTCAATGTCCGATATAAATTGTCACGAAGGAATTTTGCCCCGCCCGTGGATCAAACCAGCGACCGTTGAATTACGAAACCCTATTGAGCTAAGCGGGAAGATTTCTCAAATTTTAACAGGCGTGGCTTATTAATAGGTTTATTCGGATGCATTCTTACTTGTATCTAAATAATAAACATCATTATTACTTAATATTTCAGGTATATAATGACGCCGTCTTAGATTGTGAAAACTACACCGACCTCGATGGTAAAGGATTTATTGACACAAGTGATCCGGAATGTCTGAAAACTATTCTAAATCTAGACTCACCAGACGCTCAAAAGAACACTCGTAACGATACCTGACGTCATAAGATTTTGTATTAAGATTTCTCATATCACAAACTACCTAAGCTTTGTTCTGTTTTAAGAATGATATAAGTAAAGATTTCAATGAATTGGTACCTTCATTTAATCTTGTAACTTCAATGCTCAGTGTCAGCTTCAACCCAATATTATAAAAAAATATGCTCAAGTCCGGTTACTCTTTGTTATTCATCTGACGTTTTATACATTTTATCGTCCATCTGCATTTGTAGTAATCATAAATTAACAAATTATTACAAATAAGCCGTATGTTATAATTATGTGTGTTTACTCAATTGCAAACCTGTGAACAAAGTTCATCCATAGGAGGGACAGAAATGGTCTGAATATATATTTGGTCTTCGTGAAGAGGTTAATCTGTTCTATGTAATTAATAAAGGTTTATCAAAGTGTGGTCTTTATTCACATGATGATCTTCATACGGAGGTGGTCTTAAACACATGTTTAACTGTAAAGCTTTCATTAAGAGACAGAACTACCATGAGCTATTGCAGCTCTTGCTCCTTATTGCTTTAATATATTTATTATGTACGAGTATATCTTTAATAAGGATGCACCAATAAAAAGATACGTTATATTTCTATCAATCAAGCGGTATTGTGCATCATACATGTTCGCATTGATTTGTTAAATGTCATTAAAATTATAGAGATTTTATTTTTGGCAATTGGTGGTCTTAACATAAGATGTTGCATTTACTGTCTGCGCGTGTGCAAACACACATATCTTCTATACTTGTAGGGAAAAAAAATAACATTTTTTTTTGAAATCGGTATAATTAATTGAACCGATTGCAAAATACAACTATGTAATACTCATATCTCTTAGTGTGACTCATTACCATACAAATAAGTTTCCCTGCAGGCGGACAATCATTTTCTAAACAAACACCTGTGAAAGAAGTAATACCATTCACCTTTGTTATTATATATATATGTGTGTGATACTTAACAGAGTTAAGCTCTTCAGATGCTATTGCTAAATATTCTGTACTTTTATAGATGTAAGCCGTACAATATTTACATTGTAGAAGATGAGTGAAACTCACACGCAATAAAAATTCAGCATTTCAAAATATATCATTTCAACATACACAAACATGCACTTTTACAACATCCCTAATGTACAGACTCAAACAGTGTCTGCAATTTTCATGTAATTGTTTCAAGGGGATCACTTTTTTCCAGATATTTATACAGTTCAGTGATAGTTACAAAATCTTAAATTTGTTATCTTTATATAGTTTTACTTAATTTCTGACCTGTAAACGTTATACATTATACAAAAATATGTAATGACCATTGCATTCACTTTATTTTTCATTTCCGCAAAATTGAGTAATAAAAAATGAAGTTAACAAAATTTGTCAAAAATTATTAATTCCTTCATTATGAATCAAGTTCTAGAAAGTGCATAATATAGTCCAAATTCCAGAAATTTCTCCCGGTTTTTTTGCGTTCTTACTGTAATAATAATATAATAATAATAATACGAGGACAAAATGATACATAAAAACGATATTCGTAACAATAACGAAAAACGAATATCGACCGCATGACACAACCATGTACATTGTTTAAAATTATAAAGATTACCATGGATATCGGGCAGTCATTATGCATAATGCAAATTTAAACGATATCAACATCATGCTTAAAAACAATTAGATCTATTTAAAGACATTAAAAATCAAATTAAAATTTATTGGAGTGTCTCGGTATACTTTGCTTGTTTATAGCAAAATGATGTTTATAGCAAAATAACATTGATGTTTATAGCAAAATAACATTGATTTTACTTCATATTTTTGATGTTGTTCAGGTATTGTTTTAGAAATCAGGTGAAAAGAGTATTTAGCGGAAGTGAAACAACATTACACTGAAATGTCCAAGGAAAAGCAATCTGTGATTTCAAACAATATCAACAATTTTTAGTTCACATATTCGCTAACGCTCTCTTGCACTTACTTTGTATGTATCTACTATATGAACCATTTACCTTTTTGCAACTTGTCACAGCTTGTATAACAAGATTAACATCAACATTTTATAGTTTATAGCCGAAAGGATTGGCTGTCCTTGTTTCGAAATAAATTGTCTATTGACAAAGTTTTAAACATACACAAATCTTAAAGAAAATAACAATTATGTATAGATAATTAAACTCAAGGAAAATAAAAAATTTGTATAGGTATGTTCAAAATGTTAAGTTAAAAATATCTGAACATTTGAAGATGAAAAAAACAAGAAGCAAATGAAAGATATTTAGCAATCTGAAAGTAAATATATTTAAGGGAGGAACTTTATCCATATTACTATATTTTGAAAAATAAGTGAACTCGACATTGAAAAAGAAACTCATTTGACGACAATTCTACCATTCTAGCTTTAAGTAATAGGTGAAGATTTAAACAATAGTCCTTTCCAACGATCATCATATGAAAGAAATAAACGATCCTTGGTAGATTTGAACACAAAAGGGGGACAGAAAATAATACAATCTACGACCTTAAGCTTGACCAATCAGCTTCAAAGGCACACATTGAACGTACTTGGCGAACTGTCCAATAATGTCTGGACTAGTAATTCTCGCGAAATGACTTGTTACCGTTCATATACGCGTAAGTGCAATTAAGCGAAAAAATAATATATTTTATACAAATTCAGTATCACAATCGCTTTAAGAGATAAACAGTATTCATGTATTTCTGCAGAGAAAATTGGATGCATTTCAACTTCATCGAACACATTCGAAGTCTATACAGGTATATTTATCATGAATGCAAGTCTAAGTATTACAAACATATGTTTTATGTCATCTGATTGCAGAGCTGACAAAACGAAAGTGCAATTTAACTGATAAAACTACGAGAGAGATAAATATCTTATTGCATTTATATCTTTCTCTTTGTGCTTTATGATAAGTTAGAACTGTGCCTTCAATCTAATTTTCGATAAGCTATTTCCAGTAATTAATGCCCATGTTAATGCAAGAAATGGAATATGTTGCCTTACTGAATGATCGCTGTGAATAAATTAATTTACGATCATTCAATAATAAAGTAGTGGAAATTTGAGCGGACGGGTTTATAATACATATTTTGTTTTGAATTTTTAAAAGTATTTTCCTTCACAACCATACGCCGACAACATTCTCTAAAACAATTTTGTCTACCAACGCTAAGTTAAATTGACCGAGCCTGAAAATGCCCTAAGACATAAAACTGGTATGAAAATCGAACCTGGAAATCGTCTTGGTGTTTGCAGTTTTAATGATTATTCCAAATATAAACATCAGAAGAAGTAGTCTAAGTTTCTGAAATGGTGACATGTAAACAATCTTTCATTTACTCCTTATATTCCTTATACCTGTATACTGAAGCTATAGAATGGAACTATATATTCTATATTAAGCTTTGTGTGGGTTCATTAAAATAGATTATTGACTTTTGAAGCAAATTCAGGAATATTGTTCATATAAAGTAGAGAGAAAAACATCAGCTAGGAGTTGCAATATATTACCTGAATACATTAACAAAACATTATTTGAAAATAATCTTCAAAAAATCTAAATGCTTTGTATTCATGCTGCCGAAGAAGTTGATAAAATGCATGCGACTAAATCAAGATAAATTAATTCGCCCATTAATATTCTTAATCTAATTGGAACAACGCAAGTGTTACGTTTAGAAATTATTACAGTATTATTATTGGATTCACCTAAAATAATAAATGTTATAAATATTGATATTCTCAATTGGGAACCTACAGCTCTGGTTGAATAAATTTCCAGTTTGTTACTAGATTTTCTATTTCCAATAACTTCTTATTTGTTTAAATAGATTATTAGTAGATCTACCAGTAAACTCGTTAATTAAAAATTAAAGAGTATTCGTTGTAATCAACTTGACACTTTCAAAAAAATAAATTGAAATACAGAATACAGAGCATCTTTCTACGGGTGATATTTCAAAATATAAGTTTTTGTCCAACAGGTCGTGTAAATGCGTTCAATAAAGATGTCGAAATAACTTAAGATGACGGCTGTCATGTCATAACTGATTGCCATCTAATTGCAGACTAGACAATTATTACAAAAATGATTAGAAATCTTGTGTATTTAGCGAAGAACCAATTATTGGGAACTGGTGTTGACCAATCAAGCACGCCAGTATCTGTTATTGGCGGGAAACTGTGGCATACTGTATCAGCAGCCGAAGGTATTGATTTTCCGCGAAGAGCCTTAGCACTACATGTTGTGCCTGTGTGTAACATTAAATCCAATAGTATTCTATAAGTCAACATCGTGGATAGAAAATACGTTTCCTGTGTGTGTACACATTGGATTTTACAAAATACAACGATTTCATAATGCATTGTGTTAATATTTGTTCTCCACTGTTAATTGAAAGAAAGCAGGTGCTTGGAATACAGAATTTGTGATCGTTCGTGCAATAATATTTTTTTCTTTGAGGAATACTTTTACAATTTTAATCTACGATGCCAGTAAGAAGGGGTCACGTTGCGCCACCAAATATCTTTATTGATACAATAATTCGGAAATTTGATGGTCAAAGTAAGTATTTTGAATTAAATCGTCTACCATGCAAGATACTCAAAGGAGTGAGATATTTTCAATATATTTTTGTTTGATTTCTACTATCAGAGACACGCCAGTAGACAGTGGTATAGTCTCAATTGTTTTTTTCCCTGATTAATAGGTCAGTACATTGATTGGGGGATAGATAAGTTAGGAATTATTCTCATGTTTACAGCGATAATTTGCAGAAATCACATTATTCTTATCTTTCCTGGAAACCTAATATAAGCAGAGATATAAAAACAATGCCTACAGAGAAAAGAAAAAATCAAAGCTACACATCATACCGTTGATGCAAGTACATATTTATAAATATGATAAGCTCAGAGATAATATTAAGTGTTATTTTATAGGGAAGTAAAACCAAAAGTTTAAGTAAACAAAGAGATAGTAAAAAAGATCATACTGTTCATTTCAGAAGAGACTACAAAACATTACTTTGAAATTTGAATATGTATACAATGTCATGCACATTAACATTTAGTAAAGTCAGCATCATTTTAATGTTGAACAAACAAAATGCACAAAAAAAAAACACAATTTTAAAACTTCATTCTACTGGTTTATAAAAACAACAAGAGGCTGGTCAACATCTGTTGGGCTGTTTAAGGGCATTGATTGTCATCACTATAATTCAGCTTAAGGACATGGTTTTATAGATAAATGCACTGATTACATAGAGGTTGAACATTGACATCTGTTTGTTTTGTCACCTTTCCTAAACTGAGTGTGTAATTATATTGTTCCAGTATAAAATATAGTTTCTTGTTATATAAATAATACTTATTATTTAATTAGTATCGATCTGATATGATTTGACACAGAATTGTTATACTTTTAATTATATGATAACATTAAAGATAAGAAATAAATATTTTGAAGTAATTTAACTTGTATAGGGTACAAGTATATCTTTCAAACATGGGTTTATTTAAAAGAAATTGAGTCTTCCTGTACAAGAAATTGACAAGAATGATCAGGGCCAAAACACCATTTTTGGGGAAGGGGCCTCAGCCTTTTTCTTGGGGGAAAATATGCGTGATTTTGGCATACTTCCAGAAAAAGGGTCTCAAATTAAACACAAACTTTTAACAAGTTCTTCAAAAGAGAAAAGCAAAAAGCACTGGGAAATACTAATAAGGCAGTAAAAGACCTTAATTCAACACCATCATTTAATTTTGTTCTTAATTCTATGGGAAATGTCAAAAGACTGGGGAATTTTGAGGACCAAACTGGGGGAAAAAAGAGGCTAGTTTGGTTGGGGAAGCAGCCTATATTCGGCCTCTACAAAGAAGGGTTTTTTGGCCCTGATGATGCATTTATGATTATTATAATTATATACAGGACATAGTCTATTTTATAAAAATTAGTCTTATAGTAATAGTCAATTACATATATTAAAATATATAGTCTATTTGCTATGATAAATATGCTGCCTTCATATGTTTATAGTCAGTTCTTCAATAAGTGGTTGCATGAAACATGTATGTTTGACATTGGTTTAAACTTATTTATTCAGTATAACATTTAACAATTGTGAACAATATTTAAAAAATACATTTTTGGATTGGGCAGAAAGCTATAGAGCTTAATATGAGTGTCCTCAGCCTGTTTGACATTGAAAGACATTGAAATTTGAAGAGATTCATTTGATCTTGCTTTGTAGAATACATTTTCCATATTAAATGATTGTTGTAAATTAAATGAAATTTGAAGTGAAAGCTTTTAAATAATCATCAAAATTGTATGTACTTTACTTCACATTTCTGTGTTTAAGTGTATTAATTACCAGCAATTTGGAATGATATACCATCATGCTGATATAACTTGACAACTAATTCAGTAGTTTGACTTGGTTATGCTTGAAAAAATATATGTTAATAATTACAATTGGCTACAGAAATGGTCATGACATTTTTGTGAGTTGAATATCTGTATGAAATCTTAGCAAGTTGTAAACATTGAACTTTTAAAAGGGTCAGTGTACAACAGGGTAGTATAGATTAGTATAAAGACTTTGAACTGTATAGTAAATTTCTCTTTAAACTTTTTAAGTACTATTTTACTGTCCTGAATTAGTATAAATGAATGCTAACAAGATTATATTACTTAAAAGTAACATTTAAAGGAAGGAACTCCAATGAGGTCCAAAAGCCTGAAAACATAAAATATTAATTTCTTATAAAGATCAACTGGTGCTGCGATTAATGAAAGAAAGTTATGCAAAAGATTATTAAGAACTAAACTGAGATATAAATTGAAAATCGTATATTTGTGCTATTGTTAGTGCGATTGTGTGATGTTAGCCCGATTTGTGTGAAAGTCAGTGCAACACTTCTTAATTTTAGTAATTTTTTCAAAAATAGAACTTAGGAGAGTAAGTTATATTTTTGAAAAAGGGAGCTAGCAAATGATTTTAAATTTTGCATGCAAGTTGGTGGTCTAGACCTACGTCAAGTAGAAAAGTTCTATTCTAGCCCCGTCATGTCAAAAAAACGCAGTGGAGTCCCTTTAAGGTGATAGTTCAAAACATGTATATGATCTGTATGCCTAACCATAAGACAATTGCATGCTTTAGGTGTAGACATGTTGTCAAAACTGCCCCTATAAAAACGCAATAGATAATGAATTGGTAATTTTAGTTTTACAGTAACCTTTATTGTATATACACATATCTTACAATCTTCTCAATTGTTTCTTTGATGTTTTAGCAATTAGTATTATACATGCAGCCATAAACATTTGAAACTCCGCATAAACTAAAATATAATCGTTTTTTGATGAGCCTATAATGTATACTGATAATGTATATATATGATAATGTAGTGGTAATTGCAGAATTTTCAGTCACATCATTCATCACAATTTGAGCCGTGTCACGACAAAACCAACATAGTGGGTTTGCGACCAGCATGGATCCAGACCAGCCTGCGCATCCACGCAGTCTGATATCAGGATCCATGCTGTTCGCTATCAGTTTCTCTACTTGTCATAGAGTTTGTAAGCAAACAGCATGGATCCTGATCAGACTGCGCAGATGCGCAGGCTGGTCTGGATCCATGCTGGTCGCAAAACCACTATGTTGGTTTTGTCGTGACGTGGCTCATTTTATACCCACCATTAGATCAGAGTAGAGCAGGCAGCTGTTGCTGCTGTATGACATAATCTCTCTGTTTACAGTGTTAAATATATACAACACATAACACCTTGTGGGTGTTTGTAATACAGAATGAGAATTTAAGCTTTTTATGTATGGTTTTTGTTAACATATTTATGTATTTCAACATTTATAACACAGAGTTTGTAAATTTTACAGGACATCTTGCTGTGAATTCACCCAAATAAATGAGATTTTTTAATGGAAGTCATATAAACTTGAAATTAGGTTCAGGATTCATTAATATCATTTGGATTGTTTTCACACCATTTTAGACATATAGGCAAACTTAATTAAAAATTTATTTAGTTAATATAGCACATTGTATATCACAAAGCACTTGAAATATTAATCCTTTATGCTTATTATATGGCATATGCAATGAATTTGAAAACATGTTGGAGTAACTTATGTATAAACAGCAGAAGTCATGACTTCTTGCTATATTATGAATTCAACATCAAATACTTAATGATTTGTAATGATTTTATAACATTAAACATAACTTTACATCAAATACTAACTGCTTTGTATTTACAATATGAATACAATATGAAATCTTATATTAATAAATCATTAAATGTATATTATTGACATGACAGTAAGTGTAACAATATAATTTTAAGAAAATATGTGTACATGTAATTGCACAGGTGCTAAAAATTTTGATTGCAATTTTTTTGAAGCTAAAATTTAAGTTTAATACTCTGATTTGGATTAGTTAAAAATCATGCTAAAACAATTTACATGTAAACATGGATTATTAAATTGTTTATTTGAAACGCAATTAAAATCAATTTTTCTCAGACCTGTACTAAACTTAGGTTCACTCAATTTTATGAAATGTCTGATTATAACAGTGTTGTAATTTTTCACATATGTCTGTTTACCATTCACTAATTAAAGTATTTTTTGTGCAAATTTAAGAGTTCAATAATGCTGTATTGTAACTGAGAATAATCTATTAATATTGCTAAATGTTTTTGTTGTACAGAATGCAATATTTATTTAAAGTATAGATTATTGCATTCCTCTTTATATTAATGACATTGCAAGATAAAAGACATTAAAAGTAGGGTGTACAAAACTTCCTCCCCAGTAGAGAGTAGGAAAAAGTATTATTGCTGATTTGGGGAAAATATATACCAATATTGGTAACTTCAAAGATAGTGCACTTGAGTGTAAATGCTGTTTGTTTGTTTGTTCAAATATAAATGCTTTTTTGGAGCAATAGTTCTGTCATACCAAAGACAAGTTTACGGGGACTCTTAACTTTTTCAACTTGTCCTGAATGACTTCCAATAAATAGCTCAACTTCCCCACAAATCACTGACCATTAATAAATCTTTTTCAACAAAGTAATTATTTAAAAGCCCCAGTAATTCACAAGGTGTATTCCATGCTCAGAGCTTGGGCTATGCTAAATATCAAAAGGTAAAGTTGAAAGATTTCATGATCAATCACAAATTGGCCTGCACTGTTGAATCAATTTGCCCAATTCACAGTCCAACACTACCTTACGGTGTTCCGTTTGGACACGTTTGGACAATCGTGACATTTTATTTATTCTGTACCCGCGATGCACGATGGTACGATGGTGAAACCGCGATGGCACGATGGTACGATGGTGAAAACACGATGGTACGATGGTGAAATCGCGATGGTACGATGGTGAAAACACGATAGCACGATGGTGCGATGGTACGATGGTGAAAACGCGATGTAACATCGCGTTTTCACCATCGTACCATCGCACCATCGTGATTTCACCATCGTACCATCGTGATTTCACCATCGTACCATCGCGTTTTCACCATCG